CTATCTGTGGCTGGGCTGATAAAAAAATTGTTCTTCAGATTATTGGCGGGTTCACTACGGGAGCGGCAGTTCATGTATTTACGGCTCAGCTTAATAAAATTATTGGCGTCCCACTACCTCGTCGCTCTGGACCAGGAAAGCTATTCTTTGTGCGTCAGAATAATTTATCATTAATTATTAGAGAGTTATGAATGCCATAGTCTTACAAGGTTTATTTGATAAGTTTATAGATGTATAAAGATTTAATTGGTAGTATAATTGATGGATATGCAAATTGGATCACGTTCGGGATCTCGATAATCACCATTGTGCTCTTATTCGCTGTCAAAACCTATATTGATCCATCGATTAGGAAAAAATGCAATATACCTGTACCATATGATTTATTCGTGGTAAGTGACTGTCAGTTATTACTTAGTTGTTCAGGCTTAAAGCTGTTCGGAAGAACCCCATCCATTATGTTTTTACAAAACCACCCGTTACAGATGATCATTGGCACAATCATTTCCTATCTAATCAATCTGCATGATCGATACGGTGTCAAAATTATAGGAACTATACCTACAGGGTAGGTCCCAAGAAAGAGCAGGACAAAAATTGGCAATTCCTTGATTGACGTTCTTTCAGATTGCCAGCACCTGCACTTCCTGACGTGTCACTGTTCCGCTACTTCCTTGGTGACGCGTTGGCTATCAGTGTTGTGGTTTTAGTGGTGACTGTTTCTATGGGCAAATTGTTCGCAAAGAAACATAAATACGAAATAGACGTTAGGCAGGTATGAGGAAGGCTTATGTTTCACCCATTACGAATATTGTAGCTATTGTACTATCAATTTTAGGGTGTGATGTAGCCACAGTCTACATCTCCCTCAGTGAAGGCGATCCGTAGACTGTAGCTACATCACACCCTAAAAATTCACTGTTTCACAGTGAGATATAATAAACAGTAAAGAACACGTTTATTCACAGACAGTAAAGCCGTGCTGACTCATTGGTTCAGTCACACATAACTTCTAGCACTTTCAAAATATTCGTAAAAAGCCCACTACAATGAGAGGACTGAGTTCAAGAGTTAGAAGGGATACTTCTTTTTGTTTTCTACTGGCTGCCCAGTTCTTGTCAACCCCATGGTGCGTTGTCACTCATTATCAGCGTTTTTTACTTAGTGCTGGGCCTAATACTTTACTCGTTGACTTTTGGATAACAGGGCTTTAACTTTCACTTCATCAGAAGCCAGGTCTTGATTAGTTGAACTTACATAACTCTGCAGTGGGACTCGTAATGTATTTCTGCATTGAAAATGGATTCTGGGTGAAATTCTTGAAAAGATTTGGCAGCCCACGGTCCACTGCGGATTCGGTTACGGATTGGTGGCTTCGAATTTCAACGGAGAAATTGTTTTGTTCGCCTACACACATTTTCAAATTATACAGTAATAATGGACATTTAGTAATAGCTACATAAAAAGGAGCTTAGTAGTTTATCCAGTCACTTAAGGAGACAACCTTTCCAGGAATTTTATGCTCTGGGCTTTGTGGAGATTCTGTCCTCATTCTTCCCTGTTTGGCCGTCATCAACTGCATTGGCTCGTTCGCTAGTTTATGAAGCGGCTGGAACGAAAACGCAGGTCGGCCTAACTCTTCTCAGAGGGCTCTGATTTTCGATGGTTCAGGCGGCCGTACCCTTTTCAATCGCAACTTCTTTTCAGTTGGGCACCATTTTCTCGTCCATTCTCCTTTTGGCTGTCATCCTTTTCATAGGACCACTTGTTGAAGTATTACCAGTATGCTTTTTGTCCTGCATTATTATCGTAGCCTTGAAAGGAATGTTCATGCAGCTTAGTGCTATTCCATCGTTGTGGTCCATATCAAGGACTGACTGTGTAAGCGTAGCTCTTCTTCGATGACATCGTTACAGTAGAAGACATTTGGTTTTTCAGGCTATATTCGTGGTGAGTTTCGTTGCCACGGTACTGTACGATGTCGTGGAGGGCCTTCTCATAGGAACCTTCTTCGCTGCAATGTTACTTGTATATGGAATACAGAGGTAATCTCCAATTGATGGCTACAAGTTTTGTTTTGACCTTAAAAACACCTATCTTCAGTGCCAAAGTTGTAGAAATTGGTCGCCTTAGTCACAACGAGGGTCAATCCTACTTCCAACCCATAGAGTATTACAGGTATGCCTACTATGTACCTAACGCTGTGTCTAGTATATTGATCTGAGTACATATCTCCTTCTGATCGATAATACTGATTATTGTTTTGTTCCTTTCCAGAGACGCAGTGATTCGTGACGGCGTGTGCTGCGTTCGTTTTGCAGCGCCTATTGTTTATTTGAACGCGGAACGATTCAAGAAAAGCGTTGATGACGTCATACAACTGCCAACGTTGGAACGGAGGTAGTTTACCAGTAATTCTTGAGTAGGTGATCACATCATTGTATTGTAGGCGAAGGGAAGGAGAAACTGAACTGGAAAAGTCGTTGAAGCACTGCCGAAATGAATCAGGGGCGACCCTTCGATGTATCAAAGTCATGCCACCTGAAGTACTGCAGAAGGTATTTACCACTACAACTATTTACTTTTGCAGTAATCCATGCCATTACAGCAATTTTCACTGACTGAACCCAAACATGAGCCAATACGAGCAATCGTCATCGACTTATCCGCTGTCCCCCAAATCGACTACTCTGGAGCCCAGTGCCTCATAGAGGTTCGTTTCAGAAGTTTGCATATCACAGAGCCTGAGGTGGCGCCATAGGTTCTCATGGGTTTGTTCCAACTACGATGACAATGCCTAGCAATTCTAGAAATTTGGAATTAGGGTCATGATCTTCTCTAAGTCATTTTTTTACAAGTCTTTATCAGTGATGACAACGTTACTCAAGAACAATGTTTACTTATAGGTGTTCAACGAAAAGCGAAGCAAAGGTATCACCGTACTTTTCGCTGCAGCATCATGTGAGTAATTTTACCGAACCTTTCTTTAAGTTAATCTTTTATTTTATCCACCAGTGACAAGTCAAGATGGGCGAAGGGAGGAAATAAGAGAATAATCATGGAAAAAAGAAAAGAATTGGAAAAGGCAGAATGGGACAGAGCATGAAAACTTGAATAAAACTGAAGGAACGGGTCAAAATCCGTGTTTTAGTGCAACTCCTTGGCCGTTTGGAATCGGTGCTGGCGCCAGATGACTCTGGCGTACTGGCGAACTTCTATCCATCGATCGATGATGCTCTCAACAACATCAAGTAGATGGAGATGGCTCGGAAGCTGTGCATCATATAACGTTGTCCACACAATGTACATATTTTCACAAAAATTAATTATTTAATAAATATTCTACGTCTCATGTTTTGCTAGACTTGCTCAGAGACATTCATCGTTCGCGATCACAAATACCTGTGATCGACCCTGTGCGCTTGATCTGTCATGACAGGATCGAGTGTATCGGGTTCGGCGTTCAGGGGTTCGGTCGGCTTCCCAGTCTAACGGGGGTGGCCAGCGAGGACTGCGAGAGAGAGGGTTAAAGTCGATCTGCCCTGTTTTTCAATTTTTTGCTTCTTTCCCCATGACATACCATGAGAATAGGTGTCCTACCGATTTAAGGTCAGTGCTTTTACTCCCCTAAACGAGTCTGGTCCAATTTAGCCGATCCCGGAAGCATGGAAGACAGGAGTGTGCGTGTGTGTGATGATGAGTTCCTTGCCATTACATCACCTCCGCCTTTCTGGAAAACGAAAATAAAATAAAATCGAGTTCTAAGGCCAGATCACAACAGAATACTGCTCACGGTGATCTTGGCGAGCATGTCTGGTAACCACCCTGTTGAGGTTACCAAAGTCACCTGAGTAAGTTTTTTTTGTTTTGAGCAAAGGATGCACTCTCATTTAAGCAGAAGAAGCGATGCAGAATGACAGCTTGACGGCTAGTTTGAAAAACACAAAAGCCAACTTATGGCCCTGTTGAAGTTGCCCTAAATACTACATTGGTATGGTATTTAACTTGAAATGCTTGTACAACTATTCTGCCCATAGTCAAATGTTCAGCCAAGGTATCGCTGAAGTCGGTTGCCTGAATCCTATTTGGAACTTAATATGATTCCTCGTGTACCGAGGAAGTCCTCATGTCTGCAGCTGTTACACGGGTGTTCAGAAACTTCCTATCTCCAGCGACTGCAAAAACCAGAGGGCAGAATTAGGGGAATTCGTTGGCTGTCAATTATTTGCATCCTTAGATAAGCGGTGCAAACAGTTCTTCTATTGCGGTGCCATTAATTTTGATTCACATGAATTTCACCTATTTTGCTACAACTTTCAATTCAGTGTCCATCGTCGTGCAGAGAAAAACGCGTTAATGAAGACGAAGTTGGAACATGTGCGTTCCGTCCGAAAGCATTGCCATCCGAGACGACTTCTGGGCTTCGTACCAATTCTGAACTGGCTGCCACAGTACAACGTCAAGGAGAACCTCGTCAGAGACATCATCGGTGGTCTGACCGTCGGCATTATGCATGTCCCACAAGGTATGCCATTTTACTCATAGTTTACTTTTTCGCAACATTCGAAAGTTTATAAGGCGACCATGCTATTCTAGCGGAGTAAAGTATTTATAACCATTTAGCTTATTTAGAAGATAGCGAGTTAGCGTCCATTATGAGTTCAGTAACGGCGCAAGTCGTCCGCATAGAACTTGAAGAGGGTCCCTGAGTATGATGAAAGAAAATGGGCAAAATTTCTGGACGCATGGCGCATCACGAACGTACAAGAGTCCTAACCTCATCCCGAGCATTTGGAAGGGGTTGCTGCTCTTTGACTCTAGTTACTGGTTTGTCTGTTAAGAGCTGGAGGAGCTTATCGACGAGTTTTCTCAATTGAGCTTGATCCATGATGTTTTGTGATGTGATGTCGGAAATAATTCTGCTTGAAGATGTATATCGGCGAATTAAAAAGTGAATGTCGGTCAGCTGATGAGAGGTTTTATGTGCAAACGCAGTGACGACATTTTTCAGCTAAAAAAA